TTTGTTTGTTCTGGGAATCAAACTCCGGACCTTGCACTTGCATGCAGAGAATCTTGAGCACAGAATACCAAAACAAAGAAGTTTTTCTTAAAGAACAGGTATGCCCATTTAATTATATGAAAGTTGTAGCTCAAGCTAACCCTACTGCGTATTTCAGTGGTCTTTTGTTTATGTCCACTGCTGTAAATACTTTCAGATCATGTGGAAGCTGCGCTGAGGATGCAGCTCGGCGGCGCCGCACCTGGCTGGCAAGCGTTAGGCCCTGACTTCAATTCCCGGTAGGGAGAACAAAACAAATCATGTGAAGCTAAAAAAAGATGACAAGAAAGAAGTCGGGGGACGATTATTAGACAAGAAGCAGGGAACACGAGGGAGGGCGGCTGTCACAGTGGATAACAGAGGGGACAGGGATGAGCAAAATATACTACACATAGTGAACCTCCCCCCAGAATGTGAAACTAGGAAGAGAAGCTGGGTGAGGAGGGGGTGAAAATCAAAATATTTTACATGTACGTATGAACCTGCCAAAATGAAACCCAGCAGTCTGTATAAACAATTTTTTTAAAAGAATGAAGAGGAAAAGATGTAAATCACTGATAGCATCAAACTCTTACCCTTCTCTTCCTCGCATTCATTTTTTGTTTTGACTCTTTGACAAAGGCACTGTAGGATGGGACCTCTCCAGCATCAACAGCTTGCTGGATGATGCTCCTTATCCTGGGCTCCTCTGCATACTCCGCACACAGCACAGACTCCATGATCTGATTCATGTCACCCTTGAAATCCAGATAGGCCTGTTTAATATCAGCCAGCTCTTCCTCAGAACCTTTGTACGTCTTTTCGAAAGCTTGGATGTCTTCTAGAGATATCTGATGATAAAGAACATTGCTTTAACTTCAAGAATTTCAAATAAAAAGTATACTCGCGAAACAAGATTTAGGTGTCGAAATGCTTCTCCCCCGATACAACGGTCGCTTGAACGGAAATTGTCACAAGGAACCAAATTTCCTCTGCCTAAGCTTTTCCAGAGCTCTCCCCAAGCCAACTGTTACCACTGCTAAACTGGAGACCACCTAAGAGAAATTTAAAAGAAGTTTCTAAGCGGGCAGGTAGATAAACATTCAGACCTTCGATTTAGATATGTAAAAGAATGCACAGCCGGAAGAAAAATGCACCCTTTCACTGCGACAATCACCCAGGAAGAAATGAAACACCCATTTCAGTTGGTGTGTTGTGTCATTTAAGGGCCATAATTAAATCTCCCAACTTCATTAACAGAATTCGAGGCGCGCGGCGCCCCGTAACCACACGCCTGCCGACGGACTGCCGGAAAACGTCAGAGGAAGCGCCAAAGCCCCCACCTTCTTGAAGAGCAACCTCCAGTACGCCCCCCAGTCCCGCTCCTGGCTGAGCGCGGCGGAGTCTTCGTCCACGGTTCCCTGCTCATCGTACACCGCTCTCTGCTCCTTGTCACTCAGCACGGCGTACACTCTCCCCAGGATCTGAGGGAAAACAGCATCCACCGTCACCTCGCACCCCCGAGAGCGCGCCGCGAGCAAGGACGGCTGGAAAGCGCCGGGCCGCGCAGTGCGCCCTGCGGCCAGGCGGGGAGGCGGAAGTGGCTTCCGAGGGCAAGGAGCGGACCTGGAAGCGGCGGGTGGCGTCCTCCTTGCCGCCCGCGTCCACTCGGTCGGGGTGCACCTGCAGGGACGCCTTGCGGTAGCCGCGTCGGATTTCGCCGTCCGAGGCCTCGCGCCGCACGCCCAGCACCCGGTAAAGGTCGGCGGTGCCGAACTCCTGCGCGCACAGCTCCAGCAGCCCCATGTTGCGGGGAACGACCTCCCGAACACAGCCGCTCACTGCTGCAGCGGCTCCAGCGTTGCCCGACTTTCTTTTCCCCGCTCAAAAAGCCCACGGCGCCTGCGTCACAGAAGGCGCGGGACCACGCGCGCAGCTACGTGTTACGGAGGCCGCGGAGGGGCGTGGCCAGGCGGCGGGCCCGGGAAACCTTGCTTAAGAGTTCATTGTGCACCCAGCGGCCCGTCTCAAGAGCTCCGAGAGTCCGCGATGTGCCCTCTCTCCCCAGTGGCCCTCGTCCCGTTACTCTATTTTTTTTTTTTTTTTGTCTTTTTGACACAAGGTCTCGCTATGCAGTTCAGGCTGGCCTTGAGCTCACTGTGTAGCCCAGGCTGGTCTCAAACTCACAAGGGTCCTCCTGCCTCTGCCTCCCGAGGGCTAGGATTACAGGTGTGCACCACCAGGCCCGGCTTTTTAAAATTTTATTTTATTCTTCCTTATTCTAGAAATATTACGCCTATCTTACCCTCAGTGTCCCAGCACTGAAACATCTATTGACACAGAATGTCCTGATACCATATTAGGTTACATTGATAAACGGAATTTTTTTTTAGTAGAAATTGGTGAAATAGCAGCATTCAGCAGTTGTACGTGGCTCAACCTACAGTTTATTAGACTTGGTTTTTAAAAAATGATCCTCAAAGCAGTACAGCTATAGGCTAGTAACTGCAACCTACAGGCTGGGGCTGCTGGGGTACTTTCCCTGAAACCCTGCAGGGGGAAAAGAACTGTCTACTGAACAAAAAGCACAAAACACCAGTCAGTCTTAGTTTAAAAAATACTTACCTACATTGAGCAATCAACCTCTCCTTCCTGCTCCCTTCACCTTACCTACGGACACAACATGACCCTAATAAAAACCTAAAGGTGCTGAAACAGATCTATAAAGTTCTACATGCTCTTGCTTGAGCGACATGGATTTGAGCTGACAGCAGGGTGGGCTGCTGAATCACTCACGACAGGGTGGGAAACTTGGGCCTGGAGATCTAAAACAAGACAAAGGCTGGAGAAAACGCTGGAAACTAAGAAGATAAGCTCCCACTGGACATACGGGTATACACACCTTAGACGAAGAATAATCCCGAATGCAAAGTGAATACCTCAGCTGGCAGAAATTCAATACATTCAATGATGCTCAAAATAATCCTTTTCATATCAGTTCCTCTTACTGGTCAAGACTGCAGAATCACGCTGTCCTCTGCCGTTAGGTTTCTGCAAAGCCTCAGACTCCTCAGGATATGCTAATATCATAAATTCCCAGAGCTGACAGGGTTTTCAAAGCCTTTCTTTCTCCAATCCAAGCTCAAAGCCATCAAAAGTTAGTTCCTCTCCATCTGTCCTGGTTTCAGTCTACTCAAAGTGGAGGTCAACCAGCAACAACCTTGGGAAGCCGCAGTGATCCCAGAATTTGAGACTAGTAATTGTTCTCAGAATACAGAACCGAGAGAATCAGTTGGAATATGGATAGACTTTAGAGCCCTCTCTACAAATTTCCTGTATCTTATTGTTATTTCAGAAATCTGTATTATACAAAGCGTGCAGTAAAACAATATAATTCATGTAAATGGTGTTGAATTGTGCAGTTCTGGTGAGACAGACATTGTCTGGCTTTGGCCCAACTGGTCATTTACATTACCAAACTCATGATATGTAGATAACATCCCACCACTGATAGGTTTGTACCTAAGGAGTACTGAGCTACATCTCCTTTTTTATTCTGAGAGGGGGTCTAAGTTACCCAGGCTGGTCTTGAATTTGCAATCCTCATGACTCTGCCTCCCAAATAGCTGGTATTACAGGCATGCATAATTACACCCAGCTACTACTAACTTTGTAAGACTTCTGAAACCCTTCCATCTTTATTTTTCCCCAACACAGATATTACATTGGAAAGGAGTTTCCAGGTAGCTATGCTGCTGCCTGAATCTTATACTGCTAGGCAAGTTTCTACCTTCCCAGCCACAGCTTTCTCATCTGTAAAATGGAGAGAATCCTCCCTACCTCAATACTTCATGATCCTCATAAATGGTCGTGCACATAAAGGGTGTGGAGATTTATGTAGGTGCTCTACAACATTAGTTTCCTTCGAACTTCTCATTCTTAAAAGATAGGCTATTATAGCCCCAAAGCAATTTTCACAATCAATTTGTCTTTGTAAAAGTGGTATTATGTGTCAAGCAAAGCAATATACACTTCCAATTACAAAAAGTGCTGGGGTGGTGGCATATGACTGTAGTCCCAGTTCTCTGGGAGGCTGCAGCAGGAAGATCCCACATTCCAGTCTAACCTGAGGAATTCAGTGAGAAACTGCCTCAAAATTTAAAAAGGGGCTGGGAATGTAGCTCAGTGCAAAGGCCCTAGGTCAATTCCTAGGACAGAAAAAAATAAATAAATAAGGTAACTTCTTGAACTTGTGGGATGACTATAAATAAGGAAACATTTAGATGGGTCAACAACACCTGGGAGGTGGGGGGCAAGAAAGTCCAGCCAAGCATGATGGTGCATGCCTATAATTCCAGCACTCTGCAGAGCTAAAAGCAGGGGCATGTTAGGTTTGAGCCCAGCCTGGGCAACTTGGTGAGACCCTGTCTCAAAATTAAAAATGGCTGGAACAAGGTGTAGTGGCGCATGCCTATAATCCCAACACTCAGGAGGCTGAGGCAGGAGGATCACCGGAAGTTCAAGGGCAACCTGGGTTACACAGTGAGTTCAGGGCCAGCCTGAACTACCTAGTGAGACCCAGTTTCAAAAAGCCAAAAAAAGGGCTGCCGATGCAGCTCAGTATAAAGACTCTGGGTTTGATCGCCAGTACCACCAAAAAAAAAAAAAAAAACACAAAGCACGAAAGTCTCAGAAGACAGCAGACTGTAATGTTGTCCAAGTCATCCAATCTTCCCCCAGCCACTGTTTTTCCCAAGACAAAGACCAAATAAGCTAATTAGTATGTAGCCCCAGCTCTTATGCTGGGACAAGAACAAATTTCTCTCTGGATCCCACTCAGGCCAGGCCTGAAGAGCATGGGTGACTCAGAAAACTCCATTTATTGTTCTTCAAACCTAACAAAATTAAGAGCTCTGCGTATAGAAGATCTTGACCTTGTAACCACTGCCACATTCACTGAAGTCAGCTCCCTTCCGTTTCTGTAGCCTCTGTGTTTGTTTTCTGAGAAGCTAAGAGGATTGCACGCGCCCGTTTTCTTCGAAGTCTCTCAGCATTTGTGATCATCATAGGATGCAGGGGGAAAAAGCCAGACAGACCTAAAAGCAACAGGATTTTCATTTATTGTCATACAGTTCAAGCCAGCCCTTCCCTGGCAACTCTGCCTCACAGAACTGAGGGCGGAGACCTCACCCGGGGCATGGAAGTAAAACGCTTTTCACTCGCACACTCCCGTCCTTCACTTCCCTCCAGCTTCCTCCCCTCGTTTACTGCACGGTCACAGTGAATGATCTCCACTCCTACCCTAATGCTGTTCTCTTTACTTAACAACAGGTGAGCGGATAGCCATTAGACACACACTGAAGCCATTTTTAGCAGGAAGCTCCCTGCCACTCAAGAAAGTCTCATACAGGAGTCCCTCTCCAGATCTGAAATGACAACCAGTTCACAACTTGAGCCCAACTCCAGTCCTAGCAGCCTGGAGGAAAGGAACGACATTCTTCACTGTCGTTATGCCGAAGCGGCCTTCAGAGTAACCCCCCCGGGTGCGGCAGGAGCTGTTACCCAGAAGCTTCTCCATAGGCTTGGAGAGGTGGGCCCCGCAGCCGATCCAGTGCCGGATCCTCTCCAGGTTCAGAGCAACGAGCTTTTCCCCGTGACAGTTGGGCAGCGGGTCGTAGGAGCCCAGCTGCTCCACGAAGCGGCCGTCCCTGGGGCACTTGTTGTGGGCAGCCACAATGCGGTAGAAGGGCCGGTTGGTGCAGCCGCCCAGGGCGAGGCGGATGGTGAGGTGGCCGCCACGGTAGGCCTTGCGCAGCAGGGCACCTGGGGAGAGAGAACTGGTGAGGACACGAAAACGAGGGCGCAAAACGGGCAAAACGTGAGGGCGGGGAACAAGTCGCATCTTCCGCTGGCGTGTTCTCACGTCCGACCTACTCGAGTCCATCCGGCCCGGTTCCCTCTGCCCTTCACCAGCCCCGCGGACAGACTCCCCTCCGCCGGCATCCACCCCGCACAGGCCTGTCGGCACTCGCCCTGTGACCCCAGAGCCTTAGCTGTCTCATCTGCAAAAGGCGATGAGGGTTTCAGCGAGGACTGTGGGAGGAAATGCTGGAAAGAGACCGGCTGCAAGCGAGCGCGGCGGAGGTTCGGGGCCTCCACGGCCCCGGACACCGCAACCCCTGCGACCGCCCGCAATTCTCAAGGGCCGGAGCTGACTCACTAAGCTGGACCATGGTGCAGCCGGCGTGCAGACCCGCGGATCGTCCTGCTGTCCCCACAGCCCTGGTTCACGGCGTCCGATCCATCGAAAAACACCACCAAAGGGCAATCCCCAGACTCAGACCTCGCCGGCTACGGAAGCCCAAAGGCTCAGTTCCGGAAGTAGATCCTCGAATCGCCCCGCCTCTTCCGCTTTTCGGCTCCATGCTTCCCGTCATTCAACACGGCTGTACCGCGTGCGCGTGCGTCATAGGGAAAAAGAAGCCTTGCCCTCCTGAGAGTGCCAGTGCGGTCCCTCCCTATGAGTCCCTCTTGGAATGAAAAGGTTTGGGGGTGTCCTAAGTCCCCAGGAGGAGGGCTAGTCCGTCCGTGCTGCAAACGTTTTCTGAACGTGCGTTAGGACTGGGCGCAGGCGCTGTCCTCTGCCGTCGGGAAGCTCAGTCTGCGGGGAGCCGCCTACGGTGTCCAGAGAAGCCAAGGACGGGGAATGCCGTGCAGAGCGGGCAGGAAAGAGGCTGAAGCTTCCTCAGGAAGATTTCATAAAAGTAGAGGCAGGCCCGAGACTAGGAGGATTCAAAATGACTAGTTTGCCCTCTCAGTTAACTAATTTGCCTTTTTCCCTCGTCATTCTCCCACCACCGCAGAGGCAGGCATACCATAAAAAAACAAGGAGGGGAGACCCTTATTGCTGCTTTTGCTGCATTATGATCAAAAGTGCAGGGTCGGAGTATGATTTCTTGTCATCGCAAGCCCAAGAATACGGCCTCACTAGCAAGGAGTTTCGCATCCCTTACAGGGTAGTGGTGTCTTCACAGATGCCTTGTGGCTTGGATCCATGAAGATACCCCTGGTTGATTACAGGGAGTTAGTACCTCTCCCCTCAGAAGAGACCTCGTTCAGCCTCTGTTCACTGCTGGTTCTAAAAGGCCTGGCACAACTAATAGGCCCTTTGCTCTAATACAGTGAGCCCAGCATGGCAGTCTCTAGGACCACCTTTAAAAATGATGCCTTAAAGCCGGGCGTGGTGGTGCACGCCTGTAATAGCACTCCGGGAGGCAGAGGCAGACGGATCATTGAGAGTTCGAGGCCAGCCTGAACTGCATAGTGAGACCTTGTGTAAAAAAAAAAAGTGATGTCTTAATTCTCAAATTCCAATAAGTGAACCTGACCAAAGGCCTTAGCAAAGCAGATTTCCAGCAGTAACCCAATGAGCCTTCATCAGAAACCTAACTATTGACCCCACTAGACCTTAACTTTATTTACATCAAAAGTGGTATTTTGGTGGTTTGTTTTTTGAGACAGGATCTTGCTATAGTTCAGGCTAGCTTTGGACTCACAGCAGTCCTCCTGCCTCAGCCTCCAAGTGCTGGGGTTACAGGCATGCGCTACCACACTGAGCTAACTAGTAATATATTAGGTATACAATTACAATATATATAAATATATGTATTACACATAGCTCAGTGTACCTGTGTTAACTCTAGAACCACACTGACAAATTTTTCATTTCTTATTTATATTTTTATTGTGATCCCATTTACAGTTGGTCAACCAATAAAACTTCCAGTCAGAGCCAATGGAATATGTAAGTTTCTGTCGATGGTGAACATTCTTTGGTTTTCCAGCTCCAGGGTTCATGTAAAATTTTCACATGGAAAGCAGCTCAGGGTCCCACACAGAAAATTCTTCAGTTTAAGAATGTCAGAAAGATGGATCTCCAAATCCAACCATCTCCTGTACCATGTGGATCTCTGCAAGCAAAGCCTCATCCTTCAGTTTCAGCTACATAAAGAAGGAAAGGAAGAACACTGTCATATCTGATACACTGTGTACCTTTGAAGGCCTCCCATTTGTGCTGCCAACGCTAAAGAACACAGTTCCTCCGGACGGAATTGGCTTTTTGTGTGTGTGTGGGGACTGAACCCAGGGTTTCATGCACTGTAGGCAAGCCCTGTACCACCAAACCACATCTACAGCCTTTGGGAACTCCCTTTAAAAGATGGTCAAATAACTGTAGCATGATCTCCTTTCTGTTTTCCCCCTTTTGTTCTTTTTCTTGCCTGAAACACGGGTGTGGTGGCTGGAGCTGCCACTGGCTGTCTGAAACTCTGAGGGGTAGGAACTCCATCATACAGTTGGCGGAGCAAAAGAGGGGACTGAGTCACTAATGACATTACTGACCTGTAGTGCCAGCCCTGGACTTCATCATATTAGAAAAAACTAATTTTGTATACTGCTGTCTTTCAATCCAAATTACTTGCAATTTGTAACTAACAAACTAGGGGTTGTTCATAAGCCAAATCCAGCATGCTACCTATTTTATGTAAATAAAAATTTTAGCAGAACATAGCCATTCATTCATGTAATATCTATGGTTGCTTTTGCATTTACAAGGGCAAAATTCAATAGCTACAACAGAGATTGGCCTCTGTACCCTAAAATATTTCCTATTGTGCATTTTATAGACAAAAAGTTGCCAACCCGTGGGGGCTAGACCAACCCCTGCATTTGACACATGAGGAAAATGAAGCCCAGAGAAGTTAATGGCAAGACCAGAACCGTAATTCAGGCTGTCTACCCTTGCCTTAAACTACAGAAAAATCACCCACAGCAATATGGAGGTTGTTATTAAAAACCCAGCAACTCCATGACAATGGTAAAATGATGGGTAAAGCCTCTTGAAAAAGATTCACATCTTAAAGTGTTCTGAAGTCCTGAGTTAAGCCAGCACCTTCTTCCCAGGGTCCTGCCCTCAGCAGTGCAGGCAAGTGGCAGAGGCACCCGTTTCTTACCTTTACCGTGTATTTGTAGGCCTGCTCAGCTTCCAGTTGCCGTCCAGCCTGGAAAACAATACAGCAGCTGGTGGTGAATGCATGTGAAGCATCACGGCAGAGAAGTACCTCACGTCAAATGTTTCTGCCTGCCACAGGCGACAGCAGCTGCCCAGTTCAGAATCTCTCAATTCACAAGGGAAACAGGAAAATGGAAAGTAACAAGGAAAAAGCTGGTATTTTCAAAACTCCTTGATTTTGGAAATTTTATTTTTTTGTTTTTTTTTTTGGTTTTTTGTTTTGTTTTTTTCCGGTACTGGGAATCGAGCTCACAACCTTGCGCTTGCCAGGCAGGCGCTGTGCCACTGAGCTAAATCCCCAGCCCCCAATTTTGGAAAATTTAAAGACATTTGGCTTCTCTCTTTTTTTCTGAAGGCACCATAAATCATTTTAGGATTGAAGCCACTTTGTTAATAATTGCACATTGCAGTGCTTATATGTGACTTACACTGTTTGCACTGTGCTGTTTTAAATGATTTACCTATATTCACTCTTAATCCTTATGACCTAGGTCACGTGGTGGTGAACCTATGGGACATGTGTTCTGGCGGGCTGTCTGTACCATGGAAAGTTCTAAAAGGTTCACCATTGCTTACCTAGGAGATAATTACTTTTGTTTTCATTCTAGGTTAACAGCAAGAGAAGTCTAAGGCCCAGAGAGATTAAATAACTGACCAGGGTTATTAAACTAGTAAGCAGAAGATCCAGGTTTTAAAACAGCGAATTCTGCCTCCAGAGTCCACAGTTTTACTTACTAGACTTTATCCATCTGCACGCACTAAAAAAGTATCAGAATTACTTCCGTGCAGATCTGGATACGTGATGAGACCACTGACTACTCTGCGCATTGATATTCTTTGCATGAGGCACTCTGTGAGTGAAGTGAGATTATGTGAATTTGCTATTATATTTCACAAGTTTGTACATAGCAAGTTAAGCTCTACATTCACTTAGGAAAAATTAAATAAATATACAAGACCTTAGAATAATTCTCACTGAAAGGGAACTTAAAACATATAGGCCAATTTCCTAAAGTTCACATGACATTTTTACTAGTTCATAAAGCTTTCATATCCCAAGACCTTACTTCCTTACCTACATTTTGAACTATTACCACTAGAAGTTCACTAACTTGCTGGGGCATTTTCAAGCATGCCTTCTCTTCTTACTGCTGTTACCTCTGACTCTCTCCTGCCATAGGAAGGTAGAGGCCACCTGGTGTAGGCCAAATAATAATTTTTTGCTGTTATGAACATTACTCAGTAAAGAGCCTTTCACATATCTTTATTTTCTTAGGAGTGTGTCTGGATATGGAATTTGCCAAATTGAATATATGAATGTGATCAAATAATGATGCATTGGATTTAATGTATAATATGGATTTATGTCTACTAGCAACAAAAAGAACCCTTCTCAATGATAGCAATACCATATTTTAATTCTTCCAGTATGATGGATGTGAGTTTTTGCCACATTACTTTACGATGCATTTTCATTTTTCTCAGGCTGAGCTTCGCTTCACACATACACTGATTTTTATAATCTCTACTTCGGCAAACTGCATATTCCTACCTTCCGCCCATATTTAGTCAGACTGCCTATGGTTCTTTTCTTTTTGTAGGAGTTATTTATATAACCTGAATATATCCTATTTTAGTATTCTCATTATACCTGAGCTTCCAGTGTTAAAGTAGTTAGTTTATTGTTATTTCAAAGGCTTATGCTTTTACAATCCTAAGAAAACCTCCCTAACCCAAAGGCATAGAGGTACTCTCTACATTTCTTCTAAATGCCAAGATTTTGCTTTTAAAATTTGGGTCTTTAGGCCAGGCGTGGTGGCCCATGCCTGTAATCCCAGCACTCAGGAGGCTGAGGCAGGAGGATCATTGCTAGTTCAAGACCAGCCGAGGCTACAAAGTGAGCTCAAGGCCAGCC